GGAATGCTATGTCCCCAGCTCCTGTCCCAGGCCTTTTGCTATTGACACCATAAACTTCTCTTCCTTCTTTTGCTTTTTGAGGTATTAGCCTCTTCATGTGTGTAGTAGGAATCCAGCAAACAAAAAAATGTTGGTTTTTGTTGGGCTCATTTTGTAAGGATTGAATTAATTTTAATTAGTTTAGCACTTCCACGTTGCCTGGGACAGGTTCAGTGTCAACTCGCCCTTGCTTTTGTGTAGTGAAAAGGCTATGGATTTGAGGTCAAATAGATCTTGATTAGGACTGCAGTTCTTTTTTGTATCAGCCATGTGATTTGGGCAATTTCGCTGGTATCTCTAAGACTCAGTTTCCTCTACAAAAACTGGGATTGATAATAGCTACTTAACAGTGTGGTTTTAATAAATCAATTTTAAAATTATCTGAAAGTGCCCTTTTGAAGTTCAATCAGAGCATTATCAAACTAACCCACTTAAGAGTCAGCTGGTGCTCTAAGGAATTGCAACTTTGTTTGATTTACTATTTACTATCGATTAGAACCATACTGTAAAGTTTCACGTTAATTTTGTGAAGATTGACAAATAACAAATGTTTTCTGTCCCGCAGAAAAAATAGTTTTCAATTTTTTTTTTTTTTTGCTTGTAGGATGTCAACCAATCTTATATCTAATTTTGTAACATGATTCCAGAGTTTTATTTTTCTCCACTGACTCTATATTAGGCAGCTTATTATTTTTTTTGAACCAACACTATCATCCTGCTAGTTCCCTTAACAATTTGTATAGTTTTAAAATCTTTGATGAGGGCTCATCATATCTACTTCTAACTTTGCACAGTTTCATAGGAGCAGTGGGTACATGCAGAAGAAGCATTTGGCTGCCTCATTCCATGGGCAGTTTTTGGAATGATCCACCACATAGGGAAACTCTGGCTCTCTTCACTGCATGAAATGTTCTTTAGTAATGCTTCCTCCTATTATCCCAACCATCCTCTTTGGCCTAGTTTAAATGCTTTCTCCTTCAGGAAGTCTTACTAATTCCACAAATCAGAAGTGACTGCCCTCTGAGTTCCCATAGCATTTTCTTTGTCATTGAAATTAATCATGGTTATTTGTGTGTGTGTCTTAATTCCCCTGATGAACTAGAGTGTATTTGAGAGCAGAGATGTTATCTCGTTCATCATTTAATACACACTATTTTCTGTCCTGTGCTTTTCCTTAGCATACATAGAATAATAAATGTCTGTTTATTAGAATTAAGCATGAAAAACTATGAAATAAACCAATTAAACTCTGATTAAAAAGTCAAAATAATTCCGTTTTGTGTGAATGACTATAACAAAATCAGGTAAATAATCACCAGTATATATAGAAAGTAGAAAAGTACAGAGGTATTTCATTAGATAACCACATATATTTATAAAGCTCTTATTATTTATAGTTAAAATAATTAGAAAAATATCATAAAATGTAAATCCATTCTGGAGATCATTCTCTTTATGTATCATACAACTTTGAATCACATAAAAACTTTCAATGATGTTAGTGGGAGTAGGTTTCTATACCTAAAACAGTATTCCCTTTATAGCTTTACGTTTTAGAAAAATATAAAGAAAACCTTTTAATATTGATTGCCAAGAACAAATTTATCACCACTGACAGTGTAATATGTGGTAAATCACATCTCTTATGCACATGAGTTTTTCTGCCTGTAAAATGAGAGTATACCCCCTTCCTATCATAGAGAAACATTATGAATGTGAGCTAGGCTAAATCTCCTTGAGCTTCAAGGAGAATGAATTATATACACCTGTGTAATAGAACAGGGCTTCGCAAACTTTAATGTGTATACACATCACTGGGGAATCTTGTTACTGTGCAGATTCTGATTTAATATCTCTAGATGGAGCCTAAGATTCTGTGTGATATCATAAGCTCCCAGGTGCTGCCATTGCTGCTGGTCCACGGACTGTCATTGGAGGAACAAAATTAGAAAACCTATTTAAAAACTGTCCTTCCTCTTTGAATGTTCATTTCCTTCTATCTAGCCTTTCAAAATTTGCCCTTATCATTCTATAAACTTGTTAAAAAAGTGAAAAGACATTTTTCTATTTCTTGGTCAGTGAAACTGAGAGAAAACAGAAAAATGTTTGTTTCAGATATTAGCCCCCTTCCTGATTTTGGAAAGCATCCTAAAAAAATAAGTATTTTTTAAGAGATAGGGTTTTGCTAAGTTACACAGGCTGGACTTGAATTCCTGAGCTCAAGAAATCCTTCTGCCTCAAAAACTCAACATTTTTACAATACCTTGATACTTCCCATTCTTTCCATTTCTGTACGGTTTTAATATGCAGTGCAATATGGAAGATCATTTAAAAATGGAAAAATTTTGGAGGTAAACTCTAATATTTTCTTCTCACCTAATACTATAAAATATGTCTTTATATTACTAATATTTATAGTTAGTATATAATGTTTCATGAGAACCCAAAATTATGTACAGAATTTTCATAATATTAAAACAACTGTAATTTCATGGTACACTATAATCACCATGCTAATTATACAGTTTTTGAAAATGTTCAAACTGGTTAGCAAGGAATTATAAAATGGCATTTTACTTGTCATGGGAAAATATTTTTGCCTCTTTGGAGGTAGAAGCACGAGACAATAAATTTGAGAGACCTTCCCCCTTTTGGGCCAAAAAATACAAGCTGTTCTCTATAGAAAGACAAGCAATTCATTCTTTATCTTTGTTTCCAAAGGTTAAAGAAATATTTCTTTTCTGTTCATACCTATAACTTGTCCAAACCAAATGCTAATATGCTAGGGGCAGTTCTTTTAAAATTCATATTTTAACCTGCAAAATGTCAATCATATAACAATCTCCACAATAAGCCCCTCAGTAAAAGAGCTAAATAAATTTGATTTATTTGAGTTTTTAGATTTGTGGGGAGAGAGAGAGAGAGAGAGAGAGGATTTTAATGACTACCTCTCATTTTGCCTAGAATATGCTATCATTTTTTTAGAGTAAGGTGTTCTCAAGTTATTAGTGCAAGGAGTAGAAGATTTTATAATACATTAAAGTAAATTTAAAACTTGGAAGAATTTCAGCATAAAGTGGATTTTTCATAAACATATATTTAGGGAATCTGATTGGAATTTCACCATTGAGAAGATTCCGTAAGTGTGTTAATCATACAGTTATTCTAATTCCATCTGTGGCGTATGTTTAATTAACTGAAGGAATTATTATATTGTAAAAGCACCTGCCATGAGAAGCATCATGGTTCATGTTAACTGTTATTGAATCACTTACCAAGCACAAATACAACGTGCCAGTAGTAATGTAATAACATGCAGCGGGCACATCATATACTGATATGAGCCCTTCTGAGGATCATGGTTCATGTTAACTTGTATTGAATTACTTACCAAGCACAAATACAACGTGCCAGTAGTGATGTAATAACATGCAGCGGGCACATCATATATGATATAGCCTTCTGAGGATCATGTTCATGTTAACTTTATTGAACACTTACATACAGTCATAGGCACACAATATATATGAGCCCTTCTGAGATCATGGTTCATGTTAACTTGTATTGAATCACTTACCAATGGCAGCAGGGCAATAATACGATAGCCCTCTGAGATCATGTTATGTAACTGTATGAATACAAACAAAACAATGCATAGAATAACATGCAGCGGGCACATCATATATGATATGAGCCCTTCTGAGGATCATGGTTCATGTTAACTTGTATTGAATCACTTACCAAACACAAATACAACGTGCCAGTAGTGATGTAATAACATGCAGCGGGCACATCATATACTGATATGAGCCCTTCTGAGGATCATGGTTCATGTTAACTTGTATTGAATTACTTACCAAACACAAATACAACGTGCCAGTAGTAATGTAATAACATGCAGCGGGCACATCATATATGATATGAGCCCTTCTGAGGATCATGGTTCATGTTAACTTGTATTGAATTACTTACCAAACACAAATACAACGTGCCAGTAGTAATGTAATAACATGCAGCGGGCACATCATATATGATATGAGCCCTTCTGAGGAGCAACGGACTGCAAAAGTGTCAGCATGCCTCACTTCACTCAGGTGCCTCTTTACGTGGAGGACTGACTGATGGATGATATAATACTCTCACTACCGGCAATTCTTGAATGCAAGAGTCTTGAGACTGTGACCCTATATAAGCTTTAAATCCAATCAGTGTGTTCTGTTTTAATCTAATTTTCTAGCTCTGCAAAGCGTTCCATGTTGTCAGTAGGCCACATATCACTGGTGTACTCTTGGTATAATCACAAATCAGGTGGCCTACATTTTGCTGAGGTTTAAAGAGCTTCCAAAAGCAGATTGAGAACATACGTTTATTTTTTAAATCTCATTTTTTAAAAAAGTATTCATAACACTTTACCTTTTATGTTTTGTTTCTCTATTATTTTTACAGTTTAAATCATTTTCAAATTCATTCATTAGTTTAGTGTTTATATTTAAATTGACTATGTACTTACTCTATACTATAGACTATGCTAAGATACTAGTTACATAATGAGGAGTAAGATGGACACTAGATCATGTTATCAGCTGGCTCACAATCCAGGGGTTCTTACAGACAAACAATGAGGCAAATACAACAGGGTGCCATAAAAAGCAGGAACTCGGAACTGGAGGGTGCTATTGAACCAGGACCCTTGGAAGAAGGCTGGTGTTAGAGGCTTTTCGGAAAGAGAGGCTTCTTAGTGGTAACTTGAATAGAATAATCAGGCTTAGCTAGAGGAGGAGACAGCAATGGGCACGAATGGTCATTCTGAGCAGAGGAAGCACAGGTGTAGTGAAGCACAAGCAAGGAAGACAGAGTTTCCAAGGAGAGAGGACCCCGGTGAGACGCAAGGCAGTAAGCAGTTAGAACTATCCTAGAAGCAATCGGGACACATAGAAGGAAGCTTTAGATATGACAGATGATCAGGTTTGAGTTTTAGTTTATTTAGTTTATTATCAACTCACTGGTCGCATGATGGAGGATAACTTGACAGAAGGTCTATAACCACACGGGGGATGATCTGGTGGCTTGGCCGAAGCTATAATCCGTAATCAAAAATAGACAAAACCGACCCAGGGCAAAGTTAGAATTTCCCAAATCCATTTATTTATTTTCTAGACCGTTTTCTTTTCTCTCTAGATGCATTTTCCCTCCCAGTGAAAACATTTCCCATTTTTCACCTACCCAAAGTTTCCTGATGCCTTTCCCATTATAAGCAAATTCCGCTATCTCACTATCTCCCACTCTCTGTCCTTCCACCCACCGCTCTTCCTCTCCCTCCCTCCTTCCCCTTTTTACACACTTACATGTGAGTGTGTGCACACACACACAGAGAGATCCAAGCACACAGTATTAGAGTCTGATAAATCATTTGCACTTACCAAATTTGACATCTTCATGTTAAAATTTTAACTCCACTCTGCCTTTGGGTTTTAATATTCATCTTTGAAACCGTGGATGAAATCCTCTTAGACAGCTGCAGCGTTAGCAGGATATCCACTTCGGGTCCTGGAATTAGCCCTAGAATGAGACATGGTATTTTTTTTTCACCGACTTTTATCTTGGTTCACAGGGGTATCTAGAATAGCCAATTAGATGACATTAGTCCTATTTGATTCGATCTAAATTTCTAATTTAGAAAAAATACCTAGGTAGGTCTATAGTTAAAATATTTAGGAGGGATTAGAGATCGAAGTCCTAAATTAAGTTTTGAAATAGCTTGTATGGTCTCTGGCAAGACACTCTTGCTTTATCTATAAAGATGTTAGATGGGAGAGACGGTTTTACAGAAGAAAAAGGGAACACTGAGTTTGTCTCTGATTAATAAGCTTTCTCTTATTCTCTGTCTCTTCCAAAAATGAAACCGAATTTTGAGAATTTGTCCATTCTGCCACCGGGTTTTAACATTCGTTCATATTAAGGCGGGACTTTTGGAAGCAGGAGAAACTCCTTTCTTAATGATGTTCAAGCACATCTGGCAGTCTTTGGTTGACTGCAGTGGGGCAAGTGAACAATTTGAGAACATTTAAAAAGAGGAAAGATTGTTCAATGTTCCATTTCCTGGAAGAAATGGGGATAAGTGGGCTGCGGTTCTATGATCAAACAATTATAATGGTCCTTACCGGGGAAGGGGCTGCCTTGGCAGGCAGTTTCTCACAGAAAAGTGGTCTAGTAATTTGTTCTTATTTCCTGTAGAAAATATTTTATTTTTTAGGTCTGATCTAGTTCCTTAATATTTCTAGTTTGTTGCTCATTTCTTTGAATCTGCCAAATATTCCTTCTTTCTTCACTTTTATTTCCCATGATTGAATATTATCATTTTTTTGAATGGCTACTTTCCAAATTTCCATTGACTGTTTATTGCAAGTTCTTTCTATTATCCCTTTCTGTACTTCATTATTATCTGAATGATAACATCATAGCATATGGAGGAAAGGAAATTAAAATATCAAGAATCTCTGAATCCTTGTCTTTAGAATTTAGACAATAGCTGATTATGCTGGTCACATGTCCGTCTATTCTAATACTTTCAAAGAATCTACTTTTTGGGAATCTAATCTTCAATATAAATTCTGAGTTAGAATTTTTGGGATCATGTTACACATATAGAAAATGAGAGTATTGGCCGGGCGCGGTGGCTCATGCCTGTAATCCCAGCACTTTGGGAGGCTGAGGCGGGCAGATCACCTGAGGTCAGGAGTTCGAGACCAGCCTGGCCAACGTGGTGAAACCCCATCTCTACTAAAAATACAAAAATTAGACTGGTTTGATGGTGGGTGCCTGTAATCCCAGCTATTTGGGAGGCTAAGGCAGGAGAATCACTTGAATCTGGGAGGCGGAGGTTGCAGTGAGCCGAGATCGCGCCACTGCACTCCATCCTGGGCAACAGGAGTGAAACTCTGTCTCAAAAAAAAAAAAAAAAAAAGAAAGAAAGAAAAGAAAAAAGAAAATGAGAGTATTATTTTTATTCTCTGTAATCTAACAATTCTTTGATAATTATTCTTCAGTAATTATTCAGACTAAATCAGGAATTGGCACTTCCACATTTCTAGGGACACTACACCTTGTAAATTGTAAGTGGTTTGCCTTGGAAGAAAGGATGAAAGGAGAGGAAAAGGGAAGAAGAGGAAAGAGGAAATAAAACATGACTTCTTTGTATTTATCTCAGGAAGACTAAAAGCAGTCTGTTAATATTCTTTATAACAGAAACATTGGGGCAGATCTCTCCTGGCAGGATTTTTTTTTTTTTTTTTTTTTTTGGAGTCTTCACACACAATCAGAGCAGAGCATAATTATTAGAGAACAAATCTCTTGTACATAACACACCTTGATATGTTACTACATGGTATCTTTTTTAAATATAAAAACTACATATCTCATTTTTTAGGGAATAAAGTAATGCCTTGGGGAAGATTGCCCCAAAAATCTATCAGCAAATAAAAAAGATGCTTTTCTTTTTTTTATTTTCTTTATGCTCCATACCCATCTCCATAATGAATTGGGAGACAGAATTATTTTGTGGTTCTGTAAGCAATGACCTTACACAGCTTTACCTCGGAAATGAATAAACTTTGCTGACATGGGACAAATTCTCAAAATTGTACTCTATTTTTGTACATGTTATTGTTTACACCATCCTAGCAGAAACCGTCCAAATCAAAGAGCCAAGCATACTGTCTTTAATTAACGTTGCTGAGTTGTTAGCAAATCCAAAAGCACTTTATACATGCTTCAATGACACCTGAAATGTAGCCAATGACACCACAACATGAGTAAGTGCTTGTATTTAATCAAATTAGAAGCACTTTAACACTTTCTATTTTTTTATTTTATTTTTAAATTTTTTTCTTATACTTTAAATTCTAGGGTACATGTGCACAATGTGCAGGTTTGTTACATATGTATACATGTTCCATGTTGGTGTGCTGCACCCATTAACTTGTCATTTATATTAGGTATATCTCCTAATGCTATCCCTCCCCCCTCTCCCCATCCCATGACAGGCCCCAGTGTGTGACGTTCCCCTTCCTGTGTCCATTGTTAATTCCCACGTATGAGTGAGAACATACAGTGGTTAGTTTTCTGTTCTTGTGATAGTTTGCTGAGAATGATGGTTTCCAGCTGCATCTATGTCCCTACAAAGGACATGAACTCATCCTTTTTTATGGCTGCATAGTATTCCATGGTGGATATGTGCCACATTTTCTTAATCCAGTCTGTTGTTGATGGACATTTGTGTTGGTTCCAAGTCTTTGCTATTGTGAATAGTGTAGTAACAAACATATGTGTGCGTGTGTCTTTATAGCAGCATGATCTATAATCCTTTGGGTATATACTCAGTAATGGGATGGCTGGGTCAAATGGTATTTCTAGTTCTAGATCCTTGAGGAATCACCACACTGTCTTCCACAATGGTTGAACTAGTTTACAGTCCCACCAACAGTGTAAAAGTGTTCCTATTTCTTCACATCCTCTCCAGCACCTGTTGTTTCCTGACTTTTTAATGATTGCCATTCTAACTGGTGTGAGATGGTATCTCATTGTGGTTTTGATTTGCATTTCTCTGATGGCCAGTGATGACGAGCATTTTTTTCATGTGTCTGTTGGCTGCATAAATGTCGTCTTTTGAGAAGTGTCTGTTCATATCCTTCGCCCAATTTTTGATGGGGTTGTTTTTTTTTTTCTTGTAAATTTGTCTGAGTTCTTTGTAGATTCTGGGTATTAGCCCTTTGTCAGATGAGTAGATTGCAAAAATTTTCTCCCATTCTGTAGGTTGCCTGTTCACTCTGATGGTAGTTTCTCTTGCTGTGCAGAAGCTCTTTAGTTTAATTAGATCCCATTTGTCAATTTTGGCTTTTGTTGCCGTTGCTTTTGGTGTTTTAGACATGAAGTCCTTGCTTATGCCTATGTCCTGAATGGTATTGCCTAGGTTTTCTTCTAGGGTTTTTATGTTTTAGGTCTAACATTTAAGTCTCTAATCCATCTTGAATTAATTTTCAAATAAGTTGTAAGGAAGGGATCCAGTTTCAGCTTTCTACATATGGCTAGCCAGTTTTCCCAGCACCGTTTATCAAATAGGGAATCCTTTCCCCGTTTCTTGTTTTTGTCAGGTTTGTCAAAGATCACATGGTTGTAGATGTGTGGTGTTATTTCTGAGGTCTCTGTTCTGTTCCATTGGTCTATATCTCTTTCTAGGGGAAATGGGGAAGACATTTGAATTGAGGATTTCGATTTCTCTGTATTTCGATTTAGAAGTAAAAAGCACTAGTATTTATTTGGGTAATCTTAAACCTTATCATAATCTCTATATAAAGGATTACGCCATTATTAATATCTGAAGAATCATTGACAAATGGTGAGATAAGAAATAAGTCCTGTCTCATTAAGACACTTCAAAAGCCAACAAAGAACAGGTCTTTTGTCTAATAATGTCCAGTCCCTCCACAGATATTTTACGCTGCTTTTCTCCTGCCTTCCTTCCCATGCACTTCAACTGTTGTTTCCATTCTGTTTTAACTTTCAAATTTCCTTCTTTACTCCTCTAATACAAAACTAGTGTTTTTCCAATTAATAAGAGCAGAGAAAAGAGTCCAGTTGTTTAAAAACTGACTGTCATTTACCGGCTTGGGAACTTAGACAGGTTCACCTGTCTGTGCCCCAATTTCTTTGTCTGTAAAACTAAACCAGTAATAAAAATATTGTAGGGTCACCATGAGTGTTAAAGAAATCTTCATGGGTGAACATCTGGGCCAATGCCTGGCACACTTGAACATTAGCTGTTGTCATTTTTATTACTATTGACTCCTTCTCAATCAGCATTCAAATATGTGCTGAAGTATATATCATTAGATTAAACCATAGTTCCACGTTACTCTCGTGTCTTGGGTCTCTACTCATTTTCTCAGTCAAGCTTCCCAATAAAATTGTCCACACAGGCTGGCTTCACCTCTCACCCCCAATTCATTTCTTCATATCCTCCAACTCTCTCCCTGCTCCCAAGGCTACTCTACTGAAACTGTTCTTTTTAGTTCATTTGTAACCTTTTGCTGTCATGCCAATTGACTCTTCAATCATCATCCCTCTTGATCTCTCAACAGCTTTTCACATAGTTGGTGTTCTGTCTCTTGGCCTCCACAGAGCCTCATTCTTGCTCCCACCTGCTACTTCTCCATCTCCCTTGTCTTCCTTGATGGTTCTTTATTCCCTTTTCATAGTGTTGTCTTACCCCAGCAATCTCACGAGTCCCATCACTTCAGCTATCCACCATAGCAGATGACATGGCTTTTTTCTCTTCTTTCAAGCTACAGGCCACTATATTCAACAGCCTCCATGGCATCTGTAACTAGACACCTAAAGGAATTTCATACTTAATATTTAAGCCTAAACTAGTAATCCTTTCCCCCAAACCTACAATCTCTCCAGCCTTCTTCATTTTATGAAATGGCCACTTCATACACAGAGCGGCTGAAAACAACTTCACCCTTTTACTACTCTTGCCCATGCAAAATCCACCGTGC